CTTGGAAGCAACAAAAAACTGTTTGAAAAGTTCCATTGTTCAAAACTATTCTCAGATATACCACGCATCCATAAGCTTTCAAACTAGCATCAGAAAAGCTATGGAGTTCTATTTGTTTCACATCTGCATCTAATATTCCTTCTAAATAGTAGCGGGGAATTCTGAGGTGGTTCAGTTCTTCAATTTCTTCGTACCAGGCTTTCCATTTATAACTAAGATCAGGTGGCAGTTCATCGTCCCAATCAATTTTGGCAGACCAGATTTCCTGAATCAGACACTTTATTCTTATAGTGAAAGGGCCATAAAATCCGACAGGATCAAAAATACGGCCTGCGGTTTGCAATAGAAAACGTTTTGAGTTGATTGACGAGGAAATGAAATTTGTCAAGTGCTGAGTGTCAAAATAAAAATTATCATTATCCGTATCCCAGTTAATTCCTAACACTTTGATCGGGACAACTTCAGGAGATTCTTGCATCGAAAATTCTTTGCGATGCCAAATATCTTTGAGTTCTTTGGAATTAGTATGCCACTTATGTAGTGACATGCTAGCTTCATTAAAAATGTTCACAATTTCTAAACTTGTTTTCAGGGCTTGTTCTAAATTTTGGTTGACCACCAATAATGTCATCAACATACAGGCAGTTGTTTAAGAGTTCTACTGTTTCAGGATATATTTCTGAATATTTTTTAAGGTGATGCTTAATAGTAGCAGCTAGGAGAAAGGGACTAGATTTTACTCCAAACAAAACTCTTGTAAATCTAAAGGTTTTCAAACTTTCATTGTTATCATTAGGATCATCTTTCCAAAAGAATCGTGTAACGTCCCTGTCTTCTTCATTTAACTCTATCTGTAAGAATGCTTGTGTAATGTCCGCTGTAAAGGCTATCGAATTTTGTCTAAATTTTATCAATAAATCAAAAATATCAGGATATAGGTTCGGACCAGTATATAAACAGTCATTTAGAGAGAGTGTTTTTGGTTTATGGGCTGAAGCATCATAAACTATTCTTAGTTTGCTTGTTGCTCTATCATTTCTGATGACTGCTCTATGAGGTAAATAAAATAGGGTTTTATCATTTTGATTGTCTTCTTGAACTGGTTCAATAATATGTTTTAACTCGTAATCCTTTAAAACCTCTGTGTATTGAACAAACAAAGAGTTATCAATTTTAAATTTGTTACTCAATTTCTTAAATCTTTCAAGTGCTATATCCCTATTATCTTCCATTAAATGTTTTGAATTCGGTTTCCAAGGTAATTTTACTTGGTATCTGCAGCAGTTCTTATACCTGATATCAGATTCGAAAGATTTCATAATTTCTAAATCAACAGTTTTGTCGTTTTGAGTATCACTTTCCAAACCCAAGTTTTCTAGCTTCCAAAACTGTTGTAACTGATCTGATATCAAGTTTTCATTTACAATTACTTTCATAGTTAATAATTCACTATGATCATTATTTACTTTACCCTGCAAACACCACCCAAATAAAGATTCTGTGGCTACTACTACATTTCTTGAAATTCTTTTAATTTTACCAGTAATTATCTACCCCTATGAGAATATCAATTTTGTCACTTTTTCTACAACAATCTGCTAATTGTAAATTTTGTAAAATTTTATTTTCTTAGCAAAGTTCAAATCTGGAGGAGGGATAACAGTATTGGATATATTTTCGGTTTCAAGAAGCTCAATATATATATTAAGATTAGGATCGTTAACATTTTCTAGTTTTGCTTTAACAACATTAAAGGTTTTTTTCTAACGCACTTTTATCACCAAAGGAATAAACAGAAAGTGATTCTTTTCTAACAATCGGAAGTTCCATTTTAGTAGATACATCTTTAGTTATGAAAGATCTCATTGAGCCATTATCAAAAAGAATTCTGACATTTTCAGATTTATCATTATTTCGGATCAATGCAGAAGCCGTTTGTAATAATATTTTATTAGATCTATTTTCATCGGAATTATATGACGAAACAGCGGAAATAACGCTCGAATCCGACGTTTTCTTTTCAGGTTTTTCATTATCTTTTTTCTGATGGAATGAATAACAAATGGCTTTCGAGTGTTTATTAAAGCAGAAGGCACAGTTTATTTTTTGTTTACAATTTTGAATCCGGTGAAATCGACCCAAACATAAAAAACACCGCGATTCACGTTTTAAGATCTCTTTTTTTCTTTTCTACACTTAAAATTTCGCAATCCGCAGATTTATGATTTGTGTTCCCGCAGAACAGAACAGACACTGCGATTCGGATGACGCCGCTAATAACTCAACTGTAGACGGCTTGCTCGTTATGGCTGGAGAATGTTTATGTTTGAAGGGCAAATGCTTTTCCAATCGCGAATATTTTTCTCTAGAATTATAATTAACAGAAGCCGCGCGTTCTCTACTGAATACTTCGTTCCTCAAAAAGGCTAACAAACCTTTTAAATCCCAATTTTCGTCTTTAATTTTTCGGCTATAATCAAGAACGAATTCATTAGGAAGTAATTTCAAAATTAAAGGCGTTAAGAGATTTCCGTAGGTATCAGAGTCTATTTTTAATGCTTCAAGATTTCTTATCTGTACTTCGGCGTGATCTAAAAGTTTTCTTAATCCGTTTATATCATTAGGATTTCTAACAGGTGAAGTACTTAAGAGTTGTCCTAAATGCGAATTAATTAAGATGTTCTTTTGACCAAATCTGGAACGTAACAGTTCAAGAGCAGCTTCGTAATTATTTTCGATGAGAGCGAAACCAGAAATAGCTTTGGCGGCTGAGCCACCAAGAAAGCTTTTTAAGTAAATTAATTTTTCTATTTTTGATAAATTCGGATTTTTATCAATCGCATTTTCGAACTGACCTATGAATTCTAACCAATCCGAAGAATCACCATAAAATTTAGAGATCGTTAATTTTGGAAGACGAGTGAATTTGTTACTTTCGTTTTGGGATTCTGTAACGGTTTCATTAGAAATGTCTCTATTTGCATTGTCCGAATTTTCCAACTTATTCAACTCTTTCAACTTTTTCTTTCCTCTAAACTGCCACACTTGAATTTTCTCTTCATATTCCAAAGCGGATGAGATTTCAAGTTCAAATTCGTCTTCTTCGACTTTTAATTCTCGTTCTATTTCAGCGTCTAAATTGCTCAAGGATTTTGATTTTTCGTTTAACTGGTCTAAAATTTCTTCTAATACATTTACATTTATACTACTATCATCTTTATTCAGTTCGGTTTCAATTTTCTTTAATATCTTGGACACTCCGGTCCTCAATACCTTTCGTTTCGATTTCAGTTTAGCAATAAGATCTTCCATATTATATCAAAATAGAAAATACAGGCTTACCTTGGCTTGTGGATGATGTGAAATTTGCATAAAATGATATCCAAAATTAAAAAACACAAACTTCTAAATTGGCCAAAAGTTCTCGGCACCGATGCGCCATATTGCGAAAGGTTTATCTAATTCTAAATGAAGTGAAATACTTCAACAATCTACAAAAATAATCATTTTATTTACAAAGCAACCTGGATTGCATCGAAGGTTCACTGCTAACTAACTACGTCGCAAACTAAAAACTAACATTCTTTTTCAGAAGCGAAGCGCCCTCTAACGGCGATACATAAATCATTTGGGGGAATTTTCCACATCATTTTCACACAATCTTACCTACAACAAATTATCCGAGATGTGAAATTTGCCAGCTTATGTGTTGTTTATGGATGAGGCCCCATTCAGTAGAAATGGCGTATTCAATCAGCACAATGCATATTTATGGGCTCAAGAGAACCCCCACGGTATGCAACACACAACATTGCTTTGCAGTAGAGTGTGGAAAGATTTGGTCGACAGCTGCTTAGTCAGGCTATACCTTTTACTATCTTGCATGATCACCATGAATTATCATATCTTTCTGGAGTAGGTTCTTCCCAGCTTACTTGACAATTTCCAGAAATTGTGAGGCACAACATGTAGTTCCAACATGATTGAATGCCTGCTCATTTTGGACTGGCTGTTCATAGGCATTTGAGCAAGTGATTTCCACATCAATGGACTGGGCATGCTGGACCAGCTCCTGGCCTCCACATTCACCTGTTTTATGGAGCCTTGACTTCTAACTGCAATCTTATGGCAAGACTCATCTGAGCTTCTACTACAATCCAAAAGAAACTCCCGGTATGTTCAACCACATCCAATAACAAATGTTCCATCACTGTAAGGCACACTTGACGTCTGATGGTGTAAACTTTGAGCATCTGTTATAACTTTAGAGTTGTACCATTTGCACTTATGATGTCCAATAAATGTTTCAAATTAATCGCTCTCTTGTGTCCTTTCCAATCTACCTCCACTACATCTCTGATGTTTCAGATCATGGGCTGCTATGCAATTCTCAACCCTTATGATGTGCCCTACCTTCCCTAAATTGTCTGTCACTACACTTTCTTTAATAGCAATTTTTTTTTTTACCTTTTTTAGTTTAATCAGTAATCAGAATCTTTAGATACCCTGTATATCCAAGGTAAAACCTTGTTTAATCATTATTGAAAAGCATCTTAGCCTCTCTTAATTTTCTCAAATTAAGTGAAACAGTTTCCACAGAAAGAGAAGTAAAGCAGATTGGTTACTAATCATCCCCTCCTTGGCTGAAGTTCATAGTCTTTATCATACGTGTCAGTGAGAGTTACATTTCCTTCAGGTATTTGGGAGAAATTCATAGCTTGTACCTGTTCCACAAACCACACAACATATTGTTATGAAAAGTATGTTTTATTGCACCATGGACTGCCTAAAAACAAGGTTAGATCATTAAATTTCAGATCTGTATTTCATATTTCAGGCCATGGTATAAAATGCAGAGATTAAAGGAAAAAATATTTGATAATTATAAGCATGGAAACCAGATAGTTTTGACTTAAAATGTGCACAAATAAGAAATTTTAATATATAAAAGTTTTCAAATGTTTTGAGGAAGACAAATTGTACTGTTATATTACACTCACCTAAATCAAAATTATACATGCAATAGGTCATCAGTATATCTTGAAGCATTTGGATATTAGGATTGTTTTCGCCTTCATAAAATGGATGAGTTCGATCAGTTCGACTCACGTCCTTTTCTGGAACAGAAAAAATAACAAATTAGACACTGTACCAGGTAAAACATCAATACTTTTATTAGAATAATTACCCACAATTAATATACATAAATGCAGGTTAGAAAACCTAGAAAGCTCATTTTACCCACCCATCCCCAACCGTTAGTCTTTTACAGTCGTTATCAGTAGTTTCTTACATAACATGTACAGCCTGCATAGCATTACCATGTAGCTTTACTTATTATTTTAATATTCTGCAAAATTATCCAAAAGAGTTCCAAATTTTTCAATGAAATATGACAGAAAAATGCTTTACAGAACAGTGTGAAATGTAACAGATTAAAATATCATGGCCACTAAAAAAAAAGAAGCTAGCATAAATTAAAGGCCCAATTAACTATTCAAAGTAATCAGAATCATCTGTATAAAAATACACTACTCAAAACAATTAGAAGATATGACTTTGGATATTAAACTACAGGTGTCAGTATTTAGACAGTACAATTCAGCAGCAAGTATGGAACGCCTCACCGCACAACAACGCGGCATCATGGTTTGGGGTGCAATAGCATACGATTCCAAGTCACATCTAGTTTGTATTCAGGGCACTATTACGGCCTATGTGGATGATGTGCTGCAGCCAGTGACACTCCCCTACCTTCAGAGAGTGACCAATGCCCTTATCAGAAGGATAACACCCCACCACACACTGCTTGCATCAGGCAATGTGCTCTGAAAAAGTGTGCAGATGGCCACCATTTTCTCCCAACCTCTCACCAATCGAACACACTTGGGATGTGACTGAGCACCATTTTCAGACCCTGGCATTGAAGTATTTAGAAGACAAACCGTCGCAAATGGTTGAAAGAGAATGAAGAGCCATTCCTCAGGACACCATCAGTAGTCATTGACTCTGTACCTAGGCATGCTGCTTCATGTATTACCATCCAAGGTAGTCCTACAACCTACTGAGCCAAGGATGTCCCCAATGATCTTGTGCTGGATTAATTCTCTGGAATTTAACATTTAACGCTATACTGGATGCAACCTGGCCGCAACATACAAGTGTCCTCACCTACATAGATGATGAAGCTCTTCTTGACAAAGGTTGCACGACCTTGTCAAGAAGACAAAGGAGCTTGAGAAAAACGGCACAGAAGTTGGCTCACTCCTCACTAATATCTGCAGCAACTTAAAGCTTACAATCTCTATGGCAAAGTCATCAACAATAATAATACCCAGAGCAGGCACGAATCCAATGCACCGCCCCTGAATCAAACAACAAGGAACAAACATAAAGATTGTCCAAATGCTAAAATACCTAGGTGTAATCTGGGATAAGAAACTAACCTGGATCCCTCACATCCAAGAACTAAAGAACAAAGCATCAGCAATAGCCAGAAAAGCATGCACTTTCCAAGGCAGGAACTGAGGCCAGAATCATAATATTCAGAAGATCCTCTAACATATGATAGCTGAGAAAATGGTCTTGTATGCTGCTGCCATATGGGCCCAACCAATGGGAGGACGAAAGATCAAACATCTTACATCTCTTCAACGACCATTCGTCCTTAATCTCAATAAAGCGTACAGCACAACAGCCACCAGCACGGCGACAGTCCTTTGAGGGATCTTTCCACTCCACAATACGGGCAGAAGAAGAGGCAGCCTACACCACCTTCATATACCTCCGCAGAGATGCAACATTTTGCAACATAACATACAGCCCTCTGCAATTTTACAGCCTAGTTAACACTATTCGCACTCACCCCGCACGTAAAGGCACATAAATAAACATTAACATCTCACCGACACAGCCACTCTCAATGGTGCGAGTTTTGAGGGATACGCAAATACACACCGACAGCTCTAAACAGGAAGAGAGTAGGCACTGCCTTTGCACACTATGAAAAATGAAGAATCATAGTCAAGTCAAGTATGGAAAGTACACCTTGACAATCATAGTCAAGTCAAGTATGGAAAGTACACCTTGACAAGTATGGAATCAAGTCAAGTATGGAAAGGACACATTGACTTGCACAACAGTGTGTTCCAGGCGGAGGTGCAGGCAATTACAATGGCAGTACATTGCATTTTAAACAATAAATATAGAATGGGCTAACATTTTCACAGAAAGTATAACACTTCTACCACTAGAAAATCACAGCCACACCTCCCTTCTCATCATCATATTAAAACTTTTACAGCGCAACCAACAGAAACATCTCTCCTTCACATGGATCAAGGCATATGCAGAAAATGAGGGGAATGATGCAGCTGATAGCTTGGCCAAGCAAGCGATGACTGATCCCAGAAAAGATTTCAATAGAAATGGCATACAACCACGGACATATCCGTCTGCGGAGCGGAGGGCTCTCCAGATCACTATGTTTTTTAAATCCATCTGAAGCAGGAAATCACCTACCTCTTCCCATGAACAATAGAGAAGCTTATCAACACTTTCTATAAAGCACAAACCAGCAGTAAATACAGTCTACAAAATTGTCAACACACTCAAGGGAATGGGCCAAGATTTATACTCTCCTCATTAACCAAAATTCGCAAGGTATGATACACTGACGAAGTCAGCTACATAGTTTCACATCTGCAGACATATAAGTCTACTCGTAAAATTTACAGATGTCTCTATTACAGACACTTATCAAATAATGTACAGTCAAATGTTTCCAGCATGTATTTAATGTTTCTTCTTCTGTACATGCATCACTTAACGTTTTTTACCTATGAGCATATATTTTAATTCTATTGTTTTATAACTGTATTTTTGCATTTATATTTTTAATTTGTATTTTTATTTGAATTTTATTATGAATATGCATAATTACAATAGTAAATAGCAACAACAAATGTCAAAACAGTAAAACAAATGCAATCTGACCTTGCATGGCCATGCATGGTTTAGGATGTTAACGAGTGCATTTGCATGGCCATGCAAATGCACTCGTTAACATCCTAAAATTTCCGAGGCAGGAAGTTGTTTCTGGTTAGTGGAGGGCGCAGGACACATGCCTGTTTACCTCTGTTAGATATCAGGTGTCCCCGTCCTCCATCACCAATCAACCAACCTACTGAGCCGACGCTGTTCTCGCTCTGTATTATGAATATCATTTCGAAATAAAAATCATTTATTGCTTGTTGCTCTCTCTGTTTGCCGAGTTTCATCTCTTTCTGGTCATTCCTTCTTGATGTTGCATTTTTAATGTTGTGCAAGGTAAAAAATTTCTTTGAAGAAAAGGCCTCATGATGATGTAACCAGCATATTAGCTCACAGAAATAGAAATATATTAATAAAGTAAATACTCCAATGACCAAAAAGTATACAAAATTTTCTTTTAATCGCATCATATCTCATACAAACTTATTCAGCCATAATGCTATAAACCATATATTCAAGACTAAAAAATTTCTAAAGCACAATTAATGAATACTATGAGGAAGAGTCTTAAGCATTTTTCTTCCTTAGCTCTGTATGACTGAGACTGGTACAAACATAACTGACTCACACAGTTAACTAGAAGCATTATCTTGCCAAGAGAATGCATTAATTACCCACTTACCAAGAAATTAAAGAGCATTCTTTTAAATTAAGCATTCTTTTTGGCACTTTTTTTAAACTGTGGGGACTCTACATTTTCATGACTAAAATACATATATTTTGAATCTAATACACACAAAATTAAACAATATTTCAAAAGCTCTATTTTAATAGCTATGAAATGAAAATTTAGAGATACCTGTCAATTTTTTTAGTGATTTATTAATAAATTTAAAATAATACCAATAAGACTCTTTTTTTCCCTTAATGCGGCAAATCTAGATTCTTGATCTGCATTAATGGACTTCCACTGCAATTTCATCCTAAAATAATCCTCCCTAAGTAGAAAGAAGTATTTTAAACATGTTACGAATGATTTACAAATATATAAATAACATGATTTACAAGTTAATTATGCAATTTTGCATTTAGCAATTAATTAGAAAAATGCATTTTCAAAAACTGAAACAACATAAAATTTTGGTACCTGTTATTTATATGAATAAAAGTTGTAGGTACCAAAAATTATAATAAAGAGTCTGTAACTCTACCCTCTGTTCCATCTCTGCTGTCATTCCATTGATTGAAGAATATTTTAAAACAACTCAAGAAACCAAATTAACTCTACATTTAATTTTTCCATGAACACAGTATTTTTCCTTTCATTGCCAGTACTTGAATAACACTGGGAAACAATTTGTAACACAATTTCTGATGAACTCTATTTTTGAGCTGTTTTAAAGTTAAATAGGCATACTGATTTCAAAACTGTATTTAGTTTTCTTCTAACACATCAGATATTTTCTCTGTACCTTATGTGAATGTGACCACTCTTCATTGCATCGAGCATGGATCATAGAAAAAGGAGCTTAAAAAAAGGGGGGAGCTAAAGTATCCTACTTTCGGATCATGAGAAAGTGTGTTTCAGCCATTTTCAAAGTGATTACGGCTTTGTGTATTGTCATAAATGTGCATGGTTTAATGGAAGAGTTGGGGATTTCAGCCTATAATGCAACTGTTCATCAATATCTCAAAGTGGAGCTTCCCGTGTGTCACCTCAACAATGGAAATTTATTTAGTGCAACCCAAGAGGCCACTCAGTTTGTCTGTGTGAAAAATATGAAGACATAAAGAGAGTCACTGATTTGCTGCAAGATCAAATGCACCAACGGATCATCTGTGCCAACCTTAAAATGGTGTGCTTCCTCCTTGGCAAGCAATGTAGATATACCAAGTATCCCTGCCTTTTTCATATGTGGGACAGCAAAACTCACGAGAAGCACTGGATGCAGTTGAATTAGATCTGACCTAAAACCTGGTAAAAGCAATATGTTTACAAAATATTTCTCCCGCCTTCTTAGCGAGCCTTCGTGGTGTAGTAGTCTGCACACTCAGCATGTAATTCAGAGGTCCACGATTCGATTTCCGGCAAAGGCGTTGCATATTTTCATCTTGCCTGCTTCCAAAAAAATACCTAATGTCTCTACAGTGGCCCCCGAACTAAAAGGGTGTTGGAAGATGATTCTCCTCACCCAAGATTTGGTGATTGGGTCCCCTAAAAAAACCCCAGTCGTTCTTTAAAAGGGGGAGTATACAGTACAAAGTCCGAAATCCAGACTTCCATTATCCGGAATGATCTAAAATCTGGACCTCAAAACCACCAACAAAATTTTTCTCGTTGGCTTTACGCATGCACATTTGATTCTCCCCTCCATGCAAAATAAAACATCTGGAGAGTCCCGATTCATAATTTCACTTCAACACTAAATAAAATACCTTGTTATTGAAGAAACAATCATGTTAGTATAAATTTGTACGATCAGTAATTTGGCTCCATTGCTGCATATTTGCTTGGCACACATCTCAAACCAAAACATTCCACATAGATACATCATTGATCCGACGCCAACCTGGAGAAGCATTATTTATTATACTTTCCTTTCATCATCACATGTTTATTCAAACATGACAACTTGAGTAATGACTCATGTAGCGATGCCTAAAAAATTTTTTTATGTTAGTAATTGAATAATAACATAACCTTTTATGTTGACATTATGCTTGGCGATGATTACAGATTTAAGTTAAATGCGCTAAAAAACGTCGACGAAGAAAAATTTACCAAAATTTCTTTCCATATGCTGAAAATAGATTTTGTTGATACTCATAGACCAAAGATTATATTTATGGCTATTTGAATTAAGAAAAACTGATTGGTTATTCGCATAAACCCAGAACCAGCGCCAGGGCTCATATGGTCGTGCCGAGTCCCAGAATTTAGGACCCATAGAAACTCCATCAGGTGGTAAGATACCTAGCACCTGCCATCAATAAGGTTTAAGTATATGTGGGAATTTATTTATCTGATAAGCCTTAAGCATGTGCAAGAAATAGACATAAATATTTATTTATCTGATAAGCCTTAAACATGTGCAAGAAATAGACATAAATATAATAATTAACTAAATTAATACAATTCAGGCTTTATTGTTTCAGAGCGCGATAGAAGCAAGATAAAATTTAATGGAACAACTTGTTGTTAATCCCAAGCTCATGATGCAAGGATAGCTAAATTTGATGATGACAGCCACTAATTTTAAAGGTTTTCGGACATCACAAAACAAAGGTGAAATTTTCCAGTTAACGGATTTTGAAAAGAAATGTGGAGAAGTGGTAATAAATGAAGATGATATAAAAGAAGTTTTTCATTGTGATGACAAAGCTTCTCAATCTTTAATCAATTAATGAATGGAGAAATCTGTAGTATGGTTCTAGATTCAGAAAATATCGCTATGGATAGTTAAGAGAGTGACAGAGAAGTTACTGAAAACAAGAACATTTCAATTGAAAAGCTAGTTGGAATTCTCAAAACAGCAGTTACAGAACTTCAACAATGTAACTAAACAAGAGATTATCTCTGTCTACAGAATTAAAGAGAAAGTAATAGCACAAAAAACGAAGTAACTTAACTTACATTGAAAGAAATGTTTAATAAGGTAAACAAATAAATATTAAGCTTTTTTTTTGTAAATTTTGATACCCTTTAGATCATAAATACTTCATTATTTCATAACTCGAGATTTCATATTTTTAATTTTATAATTTCTACATGCCATCTTACTAGATTTAAACTGATGATCTATTATCCGGAAAAATCCCAAATCCAGAATCGCCGAAGTGCCACGGCACCACGATGCCCGCGGTGACCTTGCATAGCACCTGCCAAGCTTCGGGTTTTTTTTCCCCCCTGCAACAGTCTTTCTTAGAATTGCACATAGAGGGGTTTCGGTGGGGCTCAAGGGTGATGGTGTGCCTTAACTTGATCCTTCTTATCGCCTCTGTCTGGTTTAAAATAACAAACTACCAAGCTTTTTCTGTGAAAGCTTTCAAAGCCAAAATGACATTATGGATGTCTTAAATGAGATCAAAGTCCCTAGTTAATTTTCTAAACATGAAAAAAATGGCGAACAACAACAATTTTGGGTCCTTGCGATTTTCCGGCCATCTTGAGACACTTCTGGACCAGATTGAAAAGCAATTTCAAGATTTCAGTTGCCTGGAGCCAGTGGTGAGCTTTTTTTTTTTTTTTTTTTTTTTTTTTTTTTGTCAACCCATTCACCATGAAGCAACTAAAACCACCACACTAATTGCAAGAATTATTCCCGAAGAAGTGGAAAACCTCGAGCTGGAAATAGTCGAACTGAAGAATATTATCCTGTAAGCACATGCCACAGATGTAGACTTCTGGAAACTTGTGGAAAAGAACAGATTTCCATTATTAAAAAGGGTTGCATATAAAATCAAATCTTGTTTTGGGTTTACCTACCTCTGCAAATATCTATTTTCAATCATGAACATCATTAAGTCAAAGACTTGGAGCAGTCTCAGTGACTAGCATCTTGAGAATTGCTTGCATGCAGGAACCTCATCGTATGTACCTAAAGTACATATGTTGGTGGATGAAATTCAGTATCAAAAATCAGTATCGGTATGACCAACCAGCTTCACTCAACCTTACAATGCGACCACGTTTGAAGTCGTTTAGTTGTCTGCAAGGTCTTCAATATCGTCGTAATGGCATCTTTAGTTGCTTCTTTACAGAATTACAATGGCAGCAACAAAAAAGGATACATTTCTGCCTCTGTTACTGGTTTTATACTTTGCGAATTGAGCACTAGAAATGCACGCTATGATCGCAATTACTGATCATTTGCATGTTCGATAAGATGTTTTTGCATACCATATTTTGTCACAATTGCAAAAGTCCTTCTTGGTGCTTCACAATTTTTTTTTTTTTTTTTTTTTTTTTTTTTTTTTTTTTTTTTGTAAAAGACTGTAGAATGAACAAATTTATGTCAGTTAAATGAAAAAATTATTAAACTTTGCATGTTTACATGCCAGGCCACAAGACTAGGTTAAAGTAGGACACTGGTATGTTATGTATGTTTATGCATATTTTGATAAATATTTAGTAAGTGAAATATGAAATTAAGTTAAAATTTAGTTAACTAAAATTTTGTTGAAAAAAATCTGGCACCCCCAGCTGCTTTCAGGTCATGCATACGCCCCACATGGGATTTCAGTTTGAGATCACTATCTTATGGAATTTATATGGTGCCAGAGACAAAAGGCAAAATGCAGAAACTCATTAAAATCTATATTGTAGATCACAACTAAGCAGTATCTAATAGAAATTTTAAAATAGATCGTCTAGATACCCCATTATATTCAGCTTTGCAGTAACAGAACAACACTTGTCAGAAATATCTTGACAACACAATCCCATCAAAATTTACTTTTAGGGTCTGTATAAACAGGTTTACAAACTTTTGCCTGATTAGTAACAGTATGTATTACCAGTAACAGTTAACTTAAGCTGCTAATAATGATACAAATCAATAATATGATAACACAGTTTACTGTGATATCATATTACTCACATTCTTAAGGGTACCAAATATTTTTTATTTATTTCACAATTTACAAATAAAAATTCTGCAAATTTTACTTTCCTTCTGCAATTTTATTACAAGATTATTCACAAAATAAAGGAGAGGGAGGAAAAAAAGAAAAAACTACTCACTACCAGAACTTTATTTTATTAAGCAAAAAAACTTTTGACTTTTAACTAGGCAAAAAGCAGTCTAATAATAATAAAGCTTTATCCCTGTATTACAAAACTTGAAGTAGATTGAAGGTAGATTGAAGGATTATAAACTCATGCTTAGCTTGATTTGTGAACTAAAAAAAGCTCCATTGAAATGTCTTCCAGGTTTTTTCCCCTTTTCCTTCAAAACTCATTGCTGTTCACGACTTCCTGAACACAGTTCCTTTACATAGATTCCTACTGTCTTGAAACTTCTGAAACCACCACAAACCATTACAAACACGAAAAAAAATTAAATAACGTCTTTCGCTGAAGTGGCACTGAGTATGAACAAGCAACTGAGCATTAAAGTGTGTGTGTTTGATTATGGCAAAGCCTCGAGGACTATCTGCCTAATGGGAGGAATGCCTTTGTGGAGGACTTGCTAAGAGAAACTGGCTTTTATACAGGTTACATACGAGTAAAACTACGAAAACGCCTATGCAGCCAGCCCGTTCGTGGGATTTGAACCTTGGACTGAACTACCAGTGTTCAGCGACTTTACCGCTCGGCCACTGGTGGGCCTTCAACTGAGCATTAAAGAAAAATGACATATCCAAATGAAATAAGGTGTCTTGCTGGCAGCTATTCAAAACTTAGAGACCCACAATTTCAAATGATCAATAATTTATTCCATGAAGATACTTGAGAACTCAAAACAACCGGCTCATCCTTTCTGAATAACCCAGTATTTAAACTGGGAATGGTTGTTATAACACTGTAACTTAAAAAACAAAAATAATAACAAATAAAATTATATATACGTACTCTCTTTTTTTTCTGATAGCCATCTTGTCCTTATTTGTGCAATCAAAATTATAAAAACCAAGTAAATATTTCCATGCTTCAGATCGGATGGAATGTACCAAGCCCTAAAAATAGTTCTTTGTTAGATTCTACTTATCATAAATATATTTAAAAACAATGAAATTTCATTTCCTACAGCATTATCATTAACATTTTAACATATATAAAACCCAATTCTAAGATCTGTATTATTTCCAAGTAAAATATGTTTTAACTCTACGCAAAATTTCTCAAAATTATAATATATCTATCATTGTTTTTTCGACAAATAAAAAAATAGCTTATATTCAGCAAAAGATGGAATAATTGAGGCTTTATAAATAACTTTTAAAAAGAAATTTCAAAGAATCATAATTTTACAACACAGAATAACTTAATATAAAATGTGTTAACTTAATAATCTAATATTGAAATTTTATATATACACATAGACTCCAACCTTCAGCAAACCTTGTCAGTAGTCAACGCGCGAACGACATTTTTACAACTTTGAAAATGTGCGCGTAGCGTATGTTGTAATTAACCATTCATTAATTTTAAATTAATAATTAATTGTAATCAATTTTATTACATTTAAAATCCATATACATATAAAACTGAATAATTAAAAATATACCTTGTAAATTATATGCACATTTAATTAGAAATTTTCTTTTAACTCCTCAAGTCATAAAAAGTACTATAATATCCTAATAAAAAGTACTTCAAATCACTACTAATCATAGAAAAAATCAGAAGCTATAAATCATATCTTTATTCTGGATATGATTTCTACAGGGAAATAAAATTTAAATAACCAAGAATGATACATATAAGTATTAAACAAAATACGCATAATTTATGAATGCAAAGATTTATATGTAGCATGCTTAGCAAGCTTAAGTTCTGATTTTGAGAATGTTTTTTTATAACACAGTTCTTCATTTGCCTGCATATTTATTTTTTCAATCAAAACAAAAAAAAAAAGAGTTTTAAGACCTAAATTTGATCGAAATTCCGTCTGATTTTTTTTAACAATAGAAAAAATTCTTTCGCAAGCTGCATTTGAATGAGGTATTATTAAGACAGCAAGCATTACAGAAGGCAATACTTTGTATTTAATACACCCATTCATATTTTTTAATTTGGCAATTTCTCCCCATGCTATATCAATACGCAAATCTACAATTTCTTTCAAATCATCTACTTGATACATGGAAAATTCAAATTTCTACTTGATTAAGACATTTTTCATCAATAATGGATGGAAAAGTATTCATCAAGTAAAGAACAGATGAAAATGAGACTTCAGTTCTCAAGTTGATGTCAGCAACTTCAGCATGTTTTTAGAAATGGATCACTCAGTGGAAATTTATCAATTATATGAACATGCAGTTACAAAAAAAGCTCGCACAGAATTGAAAAATGATTTCACTTCACTTTCATTCAACTTTGCATTTTTTAAATATAGTCTTTTTCCGCACCAATCACTAAATTTTTTCATTTTCTTTTTGTTTACTATACTTCTGAATGGAATAGACGTTAGAGTAACATCTTCATTTTCTTTAGAAATTACTGATGGTTTTTACGAATCTAACAAATAAATTCATTAAAAGTTCAAAAAGTTCTCTTCTCAATTATGTATATAAGGAGCTTGTTGTTGCAAATTAATATTTACTGTTATAAACAAAGGCAAAGTATTTTTCAAAAATAACAAGTACAATTTGGTGGTCGGTGACTGTAAAATTTTTTTAATGTTTTGCAATCTCTTTCCTTCATTCTCACTGTTATCTGGTTTATCTCCAAAAAAATTTATCACAGCATCCCATGTTCCAAAATCCTTGTTATAGATTCTAAAAGAGACAACCATCTCGTACTGCAATATTTCAAAATTTTATGAGATTTTGCATTCTGTCCCAAAATTTGTTGAGCAACTTTGAAGCTATGCTTCCGTTTCAAACTTTTCTCCAAGTAAAAATATATATCTATTATCAACATTTCAATTTCTGAGCCAATTAATTTTTCAGTAGCTTTTTTGCAGCTATATGCAAGAGCGGACAACCTCGGGTGATTATACTTGGTTGATGCATTTTGATAAATGATGCTACACCTTTAAACTTTCCAATTCATATTACTAGCATTATCTGAAGAAAAGATAAGCAATTTTTCCATTCTAAACCTTTGTTTTTAAAGTTTTCATTTATACAATTAAAAATACCTTCTCCTGTATTATTCGTGCATTCTAAAATAGAAATCAATGAAGTAATTATCACTCCCTTTTCTTTACTGTAGTATGTTATAACCAATGGGTACAGTTTGTTATCATTGTTATCATTACTTCCATCAGTACTTAGAGAAAATGATGTACTGCACACTGATTTTATATCAGCAACAGTATTTTCTGCAAGCGTTTTCACAATAGCAGCAGTTTTGGTATGACCGCAGCTAAATTTTTTTGCTATGGCAGAATCCGGAAACATTGCTTTGAAAAGCTCTTTGGAATGATTCGAAACAGAAAGCGGTAGATTATGTTCAATTAAAAAACGAACAAAATAGCATTCGGCTTTTATAGGATCTGTTTCATCATCTTTTATTAAGAAATTTGTTATTTCTTTAGATTTTACGGTGGTGCCAAGTTCTATATGCTTTTGAGAACAAACATGCCGTTTACAGTCATCTTTTCCGCCATGTGCAACCGAGAAGTCTTTGTTGCATACACTGCAGTGTGCGTGATTCACAGAAATTTCCGGATGCTTTAATGCATGGAAATTCTGAAGAATATGAATCTTTAAACTTCTTTGCTTTGATAATTTTGGCTTCTTCGTTTCGAGGCAGCATTATGATTAAAAAATCTTTCCACCTGATTCACAGTTCACAAGACACACGCTAAGATCTCGCCGTAATCTACAACAATGCAGCCGAATGCAGCCTAAACATGCATCAGCGATGGAACCTGGAAGACAGACAATGTTGCGGGTGGAACTATTGATAAGTCGTTAACAGTTGGAGTTACTGATCTACGATTGGCTAATTCTTAAAAAACTAGGAACGCACTCAACACGTGATATATGATAACACGAGTATTATTCAGCCAATCATCGGATGAAATTAGTTGGTTCCGTTTTGCGTACTGGTTCTCGCTCTTGTTTCTGTAAAATCCGTAGTTTTTTCCATACTTTTCGTAGCTCGTAGTTTTTCATGAATTTTCGTAGAAACTACGGAGAATCCGTAGTAGATCGAGTCTATGTATACAGTACAAAGTCCGAGATCCAGACGTCCAATATCCGGAATGATCTAAAATCCGGACCTCAAAGATACCACCAATTAATTTTTTTCTGGGGGGGGGTACGCTTTACACATACGCATTTGATTTTTTCCTCGTAATAAAACATGCGGAAAGTCCCGATTCTTAATTTCACTTCGGCACTAAATAAAATACCTAATTATTGAAAAAATATTCATTTTAGCATAAATTTGTGTGACCAATAATTTGACTCCATAGCTGTTTATCTGCTTGGCATACATCTCAAATTAAAATATTCCACATAGAAACATTGTTGATTTCACACCAACTAATACTTTATATCCTTGATGCCAATCTTCCCAAATCATTATTATATTTTGCTTTCATCATCGCATGTTATCAACACATAACAACTTGAGTGATGACTTGTGCAGCGATGCTTCATTTTTTTAATATATATATATTTAGTAATTGAATAACAAAGAGTATTATCCAATTACAGAGTTAAGCTAAATGCGCTAAGAAATTGTTAACGAGGAAAGATTTAACAAAAATTTTCCATATGCTAAAAATAGATTTTGTTAATGATACTCATTCGTTATTCACATAAAGCCAGAATCTGTGCCAGAGCTCGCATGGCCGCACTAAGTGGCAGAATTTACAGAAGAGTTAACAGAAGTTTTTCATTGCAAAGACAATGCCCTAATCATCAATCAACGGATGGCGAAATATGTAGTATGGGTCTAGATCCAGAAAATACTGCTACCGATAGTGAAGAAAGTTAGAGAAGTTATTGAAAAAGAAAATTCAATTGGCAAGTTAGTCGGAATTCTTGACACAGCAATTGCAAGACTTGAACAATAGAACTTAGTAACTAAACAAGAAATTATATCTTTCAATAGAGAAAGTATTAGCACAAAAACTTAAACAACTTACATTGAAAAAGGTGTTTGATAAAGTAAAACATATAAATATTAACCTCTTCTTCTTTTTTAAATTTTGATACCCTTTAGATTATAGATCACGATTTCATAGCTTTGATTTTATAATTTCTACATGCTATCTTACTAGATTTAAACTGATGATCTAATATCCAAAAAAATCCCAAATCAGAGATCGCCGAAGTCCCAACAAGTCCAAATCTTGGATGTTGTATTGTATATTATTTACTTTTACATGTAAAATGAAACGTTAATTTTTTAATAGCACTGAAAAAAACCTTCCAATGAATTTAATTATTAATACATTCTGTCCTAAAAATAGTAACATGCTTATAAATAGCCTTATTAATGTACATCATTCCTGTCTTATGGTTTTCAGTACTGCTGATACATAAACTATGTGACCAAAAATGTAAAATATCAGTAATAAAATTTAACATTTTTGTTGAGACATTCTGCAGCACTAAAATGTTTTCTAGAATTCCTACTCATTTCAGGCTTTGAAAGTCTGTATTAATGCATAAATATTTCATTACATATTATGACTGTGTTCCTTTTTGTGTTTATAAAACCAAAAAACAAATACTTGCTGCGATTTTGTTACATTGGCTACCATCAAATGAAGTAGCAATGATAACCAGTGTGCCCTGGTAAAAATTTCAAGAAAACTAACTTTTATTAATTGACAAATTATAAATAATACAAATTAAATTATTTCAGGACCTGGAGCTAAGATCACTTTACATCCTAACTTCTATAAAACACTTACTTGTATTTGACATTTTAGATAGCTGTTTAGATTGTAAATGTACACTTTATTCTATCTGTGTATATCTGTGTCTCGTCTTTAACTAACATAACATTATTGGATATTGGGAGTCTAGATTTCCAACACTGTACTACATAAGAAAAACAGTCTTGTGAGCATTTTGTTTTTAATATTTTAATTTTTCACTAATTCTTTTATTGTTATAATTAATAAAAATATCTCATAGATACATCACGCCTACTTGTGTCAGACTCTGAATATGCATAAGTTAGATGGTAAGAGGTTAAGATGAGTTATTAAGAAACCCATCTAAGACAATTTCAGCTGTCATCCATCCTCCAGCATCATGACTACAATATTTTAACTCATAATTACTAAAAACCTGGAATTAGCATGATTAAGATACTGTTTTTAATAGTTCTTAAATAATTAATTATGATCATAAATTTCTAACTACCCTATGATAAAGCTTTTACTTCTGTGATTTTTCTTTTTATAAATGCCATTTTTCATATAAAATAATTACTTAAAAATGGAGGGGGACTAACATTTTTAAGGCTAATTTTCCAGTAAAGGGAATCTAAATTACAAAGAAAATATTTCAATTTTATAGAGAGTATTTTGCTGTGCAATTATTACAGTCTGCAGTACAGTTATGAAAATTTCCTTTTCAAAGGCTCAAAGCATTTTTAACCTCTCTTTTTCTCAAACACATCTTTTTGCTAATTAATAACCTAAAATATTCATTTACAAATTTAGAAATAGGCAACGAAATATAAAAAATTATTACAGTGCAGCCATTTAGAATTCACTACATACTCCCTTGAATATTCTTTGTTTCAGAGTTTCAACATCTGTGATTCTTCCTTCATAATCCAGATGCGAGTTCCATTCTTCTAGAATAACTGGGTCTTCTCGCTTAACTTCGGGCCTGGCAGGTAATTCAATACATGTAATAAGTTCGTAACCAGGTTCTTCCTGGTGATCAATATCCACATTCAAAATGTTTTCAGAAATCAATTCAGATAAATGACGATGATCTGAATAATGTGATTCTGTGTCATTTCCATAATTCAAATCAGAGAAGAAGAAATTTGTCACTTTTGAAAAACCTCCTAATGCTGTATGATATGGATCATGAAGCATTTTCTGTAACAATACAAAATTAAATTGTAAGAAAGAGTAAAACATGCATACTAAGTAGATATAAATCAGTCAGCTAGATCAGAAAGCTCAAGAGTCTCTATTTTTCAAATTATGATTTCTCACATAAATGAAATCTGCAAAGATGCATATGAAATGAATTAAGAAACAGTAATAATTTCTCACTCAAAATTTCTAGAAAAACAAGTTTATACCTCATCAGAGCAGAAACAGCCAATCAATAAAAGATTTTTTATATTTCTATAAAATTTTAAAGTCCTTTCTGATCTGTGATTAAACTGCATACTGAAAAATAATTTCCAAACAAATAATTGACAAATTAGCCACATTTTAAGAAATTAAACAGGTGAAAATAAAATCAACTAAAGCAAAAAGGTTTCAGGATAGTTAAAAATTTTGAAATTATCAAACTCAGCACACTATTATGAAATGTCAAGTCCCAACCCTTAAATACATCAAAATGCATATTAATTTTTAAGAATAAAAAGTAAATTGTATATCAATTTTCTTTTCAATTTTAAATTCTCTTTTAAACAAGCATTTACAGATGTTGTTAAATTTACTTTAGCAACTTTTTAACACTATGAGTAAACTGATGAAATATTTCTTTCTTGGAGAATAATTATCAAACACACTGCGGAAATTCTATTTTTATTGAAAAATTATAAGTTCAAATTTCCGAAGATAATATAGACCTTTAGCAATATGATAGGATTTCATTATTTTTAAAAATTTACCAAATTTTAATTTAACCATTTGATTGCTATGCTGTGCAAAAGTGCTGCGTTCATTTGTCTCAAACACTGCTACGCAGTTAGTTATTTTAGAATGCACACTTGTGTTACAAAGTACACGCGAGGTCAGATTACATTCACACCCACGGAGCAACAAAGACACAATGAAACTCCCAGCGCAGAAGCGCTGCGTCAAGGTTTTCGAGACAAATGAACGCTGCGCTTTTGAACCGTGTAGCAGTCAAATGGTTAAAATACATAGAAAATAAATTCAGCAGCTCAAAAAACTTAATTTTTTTACATCAAAATGATCTTTAATGCAAAACTCAAAATTTTAAAATACAAAACATGAGATATTAGAATTTTTTATGTTAGATCATATTAATAATTAATTTTTTCTATGATAAAAAAAAATTATCCTCATTAACACTCTCCCCCAGTATTTAGATTTAAAAGAAACAGCAGGTACGTCCAATAGAAAAAAATATAATACGTATTACAGGAAATTCAAGAACATGCTTTTATTTGTTGATTTCAAGAGTACTTTTCAAATAGATAAAACAAATTTCTTTATCACCTCTTTTGTTCTCTAATTTTTGAAAATCTCATTAAATAGAAATAAAGACAAAAAGATCAATTTAAAAAATTTAAATGAAATTTTAAAACAGCTATTTTTAACTAATTGATAAAGTGTAAAATAGAAAATAAAAGTCTTTATTTTTCTTTTCAGTAATTAAAGAAGGATGAAACACTTAAATTTTATATATGAAAGAATTTCAAATTGTCACAAATTATCTGAATCCCTAATTAGCAAACAGTATCACAAATCTGCTAGTAACAACTACGGTTATAAGTAATATTCACATGCCCTATTCTCTAACTTGGGCTAAATTTTGTATTACTGGGTAGCCATAAAATAAATTGGTGAACTAACAGTGGCCTTGGGAACACAGAAAAAAGAAATGTATTGTAGCTTTTGGATGCTGCAATAGATTTTTCACAAAGCTTACATGCACTTGCCACGTACGAAAACAGAGGTAGCATGCAATTCTCCTTCACACTATTCAGTATACTAAAATCATTCACGTAGACTACCACTTTAGATAATTACAGAATCATTAAATAGTTTTAAATCAGGAGAAAACAAAGATGACACAAACCAGATGATGTAATTACCAATACAGTCTCGAAGAAGTTATTCACACTGCTCACAACAGGTGATGAGGCACTGTCCTTCATCAAATAATACTCTACAAAGCATTATATGCCCAAGTCAGGTATAATGTGCATGGACAGTCCAAACTTATCACATCATATAAAATTTGCTCGAGTTTTGCCCCCTCCCAAAATAGGCACAGAAAGAAATCAGCCATCATTAGCGGGTTTAAGGTTGCCAGATTTGGCAAGAAATCAACCATTTGGCGAAAAAATTGGCAATATGCCATAGATGAAGCGAGAACATTCTAGAACGAATTCTTAACTGTTTTCCCGAGAATGTTCTCGATAGCAGGTCAAAAGCTATAAATACCCTGCCTACACACAGAGTTGCAGTTTATTGTGAAGAATATCTTGAGTGTGTTAAGTTCAGTAGTAGCACTCAGAGTTCAGAGATTAGCTTGAGAGCAATCGACCAAATTGGCAGCTGTATTTTAGCGCTTTGCAGTGAAGCTTATCTTCACTAGATAGCCTGAGACTACTACATAGCCTGATAGACTGAAGGCTGGGTTGCCGATTGTTTAAGCATGTTTATTGTAGTTTTTCGACGACTGTAACGCAACTTTGGAACTTCACTGTGTAATACTGATGAATAAATTGTTTTGATTCCTCATCAAGTGTTGTCATCAGTCATTCCGAATTCATGAACCCATAGTACACAACACATGGGTATTGGCAGCAAGTCATGGGAACTAGTATTAGACCAATAAACAAAGTTCTTAGCCTTTAGTTACCTCATTAATATGAAATGAGCCTAACTGCTCCAAAGAATTTATTGTTGAAAATTTTCACTCCTACATACATATGACAGTTGTTCATAAAATAAGGTTCCCAATGATTTTTTAAAATGAAAAGCATGTTTATTGCCACTGAATAATAGATTTTTGGAAAGCTTAGACTTTACCCCATTTTTTGACATAATCGCCGTTGAGATCAATGCATTTCTATATGCGGTGCACCATCTTCTTTATGCCTGAATCATAGAACTCTCCCCACCACGCCTCGAAGGTAGCTTAAAACCTATTCTTTCAGCTCCTCTCCAATTCTGAAATGCACCCCACAGAGGTGTTTCTTCAATTCAGGGAAGAGATGGTAGTCACTTAGGGCTATGTCTGGGCAGTAGGGCAGGTATGCAACAGTATCCTATGCAAATTTGTTGATGAAATCGGGTGTTACACAGGCGATGTGTGGATGAGCATCGTCCTGATGGAAACGCACTCCCTTTGCAATCATGCCTCTCCTCTTGTTTTGAATTGAGCAGCAATGGTTTTTCAATGTCTCACAGTAGCGGTCCGCATTGATTGTTGCACTGGCAGGCATGAATTCGCGCAACAATAACCTCTTCCTGTACCAAAAGATGCTCACCGCCACTTTTTGTAACCGGACAGTGTTTATTTGAACTTTTTCAGCTTTGGTTGTTTCTGATGAGAATGTTTCATGTCCGGTGTCATTTAGTAGACCCAGGTCTCATCCCCAGTGACAATAGTCCAAAAATTCATCACCATTGGTTTCATAGGCCTGAAGAAATTCTCCCGAGGCTGAGTCAACCTCACGCAGCCCTGGGATCGAACCCTGGACCTGTGGTGCAGCTGCACGATGCACTAGCCACTTCGCCACCTGCGGTCTATACCCTAAATAGTCTGCCAAAATTTTAGCAATGCAGGTCTTGCTGATACAAGGAACCATCTCGTGCAGCTCCCGAATCACCACCCTTAGATCTTTCAGCATGGTTTCTTCCACTCGCAATCATTTCATCTGAAACCGATGGCCGCCCAGAACGCTGTTCATCATGGACGTCTGTACGCCCATCTTCATATTCGCTGCACCATTTGACCACGTGTTGTACGTGAGCAAAAGCCCACCTTTTCCATAGACTTAACACAGTTGGGAATGAATGCCCACCACCACAAAAAAAAAAAATTGCAGGGTGTAATTTGCACTTGGTGGGAGAAGTGAGTGGAAGCTCCATCTCTAACGGTTGCCAAGCCAAGTCTGAGTATCACATACAGATCACTGGGACAGTGACTGGAAGAAGGAGAACCTAGATTGCCAGATTCTGCGATACAGCATCCCTCATGACTGCAGCTATTAGGGAACCTTATTTTATGGGCAACCCTAAATATAGGTGTAGGAAATTCATAAAAAACAAATATGTGTTATCCCACACTGCAAAATCTCCAATGTGTAGCAATTATATATGCTAATATAAAGCTGAATGCTATTATAAAGCATTCACCCTGATTGTACTTCAGAAGATCAAGATTGCACTTCAGAAGATTATTTACAGCAATCCAAACATTTATTCCCTAAGTATCTTAATAGACCTCTAGAACAGGAGTTCACACCAAAGTCAGCAGTTGATCTGGGGGCTGATGATATTTAAAAGGGAGTCAATGAGCTAGTTGCTCACTAGTAACTATTAGATCAATCAAGGAGTCAATAGTTGAATATATATTTAGCAACTGATTCGCAAAATCAAAATCTCGCTGATTATTTATCAATAATATTGATAATTAATTGTTAGTTGATATAAAGCTACATCATAAAATGTCAATTCTTATTTAAAACGCAAGGATACGCTAAATTTTGAATTTAAAATTCATGCAAGACAAATATTTCCTAATAAATCTGAAAGAAATATCCTATAATAAAATTTGAGTCAATGAGTTGTTCATGACTTTTCCCTCTTCTTGCTCAGTCAAGTCAACAATTTAAGAAAGAAAACAAACAGAATATTTTTTTTAAACAGGTGCTTTAAGAATTAAATTAAGGAAGTGTATGCCAAATATAAAAAATAATGCATCAGTACATCAAGTGCAGCAATAACAAGGAATATTAATAAAAATCAAGCTTTTGTGCAATTAATATTGCTGATTTTATTTCTGAAAAAAACTTGTTTATATTTTTAAATTAATAATAATACAAAATAATAAAACATATCTAATAAACCATTTTTCAAAACTTTGTTGTATTCTTATTATTTTTCTCTAATAAACCATTTTTCAAAACTTTCTTTGTATTTTTATTGTATCTATTATGATTATTTGGCATTTTTTTATTATTTATGTAAATTATTTGAATTATGATTATGCTGTACACTGTACATTACATAGAAAAATATAAGACGGTCAATAAAGAAAACTTCTTTTAACCCTTTCACACTTACTTGTCACGTATATGTGCCAGCAAGAAATACACTCATTTCCCGGGCAACACACCGCCATGCCAGAGCATTTTCTTGTTCACCCCCCAGCTGTCACACATTTGTGCCAGTGTTCTGGAACATTTTAAAAGCTATAACTTTTGGCAAAAGATGGCATTGCATGTCCATATGGTTTCAGATGCATGTAGATTTGACCTTCTACTAAAAATGAGAGTAGCAAGACTTGCATACATGTGGTTTTTTGATTATATAAACATAAGGGGAAAGGAATGTTTCCAAATGGCTCTTTAAGCTATCATATATGTTAAAATTAGCATTTAAGTATCTTTTTCCTTTAGTTTAAAAAAGAAATATATACCAAAAAAATGCTCACTTTGAGAAATAATTTTCGGAAACGCTATTCAAATTATTCCACAGTTTTAATTGATAAAGTACATTAATAAACTTTTATATTAATAAAAAAGTTTTAATACAAAGTATGTTTACAAAAAGTAAAATCTTTCACGTAAACTGGAAGACAGACACTCAGTGAGCTCAGTCTCTGACAAAATGTCCATATGAGAATCCCTAGAAATACTGCTTTCTAACTCTTTAGGAAATGAATCATCACTCTCATTCATATCACTAATTGGCTCATTTATCATTTGTCTGATAAAAAACGCTTGCTTGCCATAATAAACTGAAGTCATATAAGATATATAAGTAAACTGAAGGCTTTCTGAAATAAAAGCAATGCGAAACATAATAGAATTTTACATAGTAATCCTAAAAGACTCTACATAGCAATAAAAAAAAAGAATACAGAAAGGATTCAAAGGGATATAGAAACACGAATGTTTATATCACATATTTATATCATGAAAAAATGCCCTCGCACACCAGAGCAGGAAATGCCAGCCGGGAAATGAGTGCATTTATTGCTTCTTCGTGCATTTAGACTTAATAGCAAAAAATCCCTCTGGCCCTAGATAGATACTCGCGAAAGAGACTGCAGGCCTCTGCGATAAACACGCGTTTGCGCTTCCTGTCGTGAAAGGCTTAAAAGAGGGTGGTGCAAGAAAAAAGGTTGGAAGCACTGCTCTAGGAAAACTGCAGTGTCTACTAGGAGGACTGAGATACCATCTTCAATCCCATGAACAATTCATGTCTTTATATTTGCTGGTTTGGTTTGGTTTGGTTTATTTGATTATGGCAAAGCACTCAAGGGCTATCTGCCTTAAGGGAGGGATGCCTTCGTGGAGGACTTTTTAAGGGAAACTGGCTCGTATACACGTTACACATGAGGAAAACCACGAAAACACCCATGCAGCCAGCCCGTCCGCGGGATTCGAACCTTGGACCGAACTACCAGTGTTCAGCGACGTTACCGCTCGGTCGCTGGTGGGCCCCTATATATTTGCTGGTTAAGTCGAACATAACTAATCTTGGAAACAGATCCTTACATAAATTATGGATCGGATAAAATTAGCATAATGTTTCTACTGCAATCATTCATGTAACATACCTTCACGAGATCGGATAAAATTAGCATAATAAAATTAGCATAATGTTTCTACTGCAATCATTCATGTAACATATCTTCACGAGATGCTGCTTCTCTAAGTTTCATAAATTATGGATCGGATAAAATTAGCATAATGTTTCTACTGCAATCATTCATGTAACATATCTTCACGAGATGCTGCTTCTCTAAGTTTCATTTTCAATGCAGAAATACGGGAGAATGCATGCTTTGTCTTTGTTGTTGAAACTTTTAGAAGAAAAGGAGAAGAGAATTAAAAATATTGTAACTTAAACTATGCTAGCTTTTGCTTTATCTATGGCATTCAACATAACAACTTCAAACTAATCTTCACAAGTTCTCTTGCTTGTTTGCCTCTCATAATTTTAAAGACCAATAACTCTACTGTTTTTCATTCCATATAAGGTATTCTAACACCTTATGTCATTTCCTGTCACTCTTGTGCTATTTTTGGAAACCTGTGCTTGTACTGGAAAATTTCAAAATACAATTATATTAACTGCAAAGCAAGTTCCCCACTTATTTTGTATATCAAGATGCACTTTAACCTGATTTATAAAGCAAAAGTTGTGATACCTTGCTTTCCACATAATCAATGTTACCTTTAGTTGGTAATTTACTTCATGGCCACTGAAAAAATCTCAAAAGAAATCATTTCCACTTTTTTTAATATAACATCACACTCTTATAAAAGATCTATACACTTATAAAAAGTTTCAAATAAAATAAATTTTCCTGTTGTAATCTAATATGATTTGTTTATCATTTTAAGGATGGTATTTTTCACTTCCGTACAAAGTTCATAACTGAAGCAATTAGGTATAAATCTGCATATATTAAAAAATAAAAGATCTAAAGAACACCAACTCGCTAATTGACACCATCTTACTAAATAACAGAAATATAATAACTGTAATTTTTAGAAATTTCGTAGTAATTTTTAGAAATTTCGTAGTAATTAAAAAAGTTCAGTACAGAGATACCAAAAAAAATTACTTTTTTAAAGTGACTAAAACTCTAGTAATTATTAGTAGCTAAATAATTAACAGCTCTTTGCATTTCTCCTTTAATTTTAAATTTACAAATAACTGCAAACAACGATTTCAATTTTAAGTAAATCAAACAAAAAACTAATAATTACCGTAATAATATGAGGTTTACTGTCAGAGAATAAATCTAATTCACTAAATGATTTCTCCAGTGCTTGAATTTTTGGATCAACAGTTAAATACAGATTGCTATCCTTTTCTGACCTATACAGAAGATACATAAATTAATACAGAAAGCCCAAGATAAAAGAAAATAACAGCTGCAAAATATTAATATGATTTTTTATACCACAAATCAAAAAAGATGTAAAAGTTGCCTTCTTGAGATGAGATGTCGTTAGCAATGTTAACTATCTTAAGCAACTTTAAGCACTTTTAATATACACTGACTCCTCATACATAAATGGCCATTAAATAAAATAGCATACCGATGCATTTGGAGATACAACATGAGAAACTGCATGTGAAAGAAAGCCATGTTTGGATAGCTACAAGTGAAGGAAAATCATGTTTTGATAACTGCTTCAGTGGTTTTAGAATTCTGTTTGAAAGAACACGGGGATTTACTTAGAACTGACATTGCTTGAGTGGTGGGAGAAGCAACTCAGCATTTATGAAAATGTAAATACTGATTGGAACAGTTTTATGAGAGAGGTGTATTCTCTTTTTATTTGACAACTAAATAAATGAACATATGATACAGATACTGAAAAAACAATAGGCATAAATAAAGGTCTGATCATAACGGGGGAAAAAACAGACTACTGGATATTTGTTAAGTTATGCCCAGAAACTGGTAAATCTTCTTTTTTCCCTCCCCCCCTCTAAATAGAGAGGCAACCACACTCATTGCAAAGAATCATCGACCATATATAAGTGAGATTGATGCTTTATTAAGGCTATTAGTAAGTGTCTTAACTATTAGTAAGCATGCACAACAATGGAAATGAAAAAAGCAAGTTACAGACATTTTACTTTGGACCATAAATTTAATTCTGTTCATCCAACAACTGCTCATACATAAATGCTGTACTCCGCTATGCGGCAGAATAAAAATCAATGAGGTAGAGTTTACCATTGTGAATTTTACCTTCATGAGGAACAAATCATATGGAATTCGTGTGCAAAACTCCTTGGAGTAAAAAAAAATAAATAAAATTGCTTATGATGCCATATTAAAAGGCATCACAAAAACACAGCAGCCACAAAATGTGCAGGAAAATTTAACATGAAATTAGAAATAATCCTGGCATTAACTTAGTACTTAAAAAAATGGGGGCCATAACAATAGGACAATATACACCGACTCCTCATACACAAATGGCCATTAAATAAAATGGCATACCAATGAAAAAACCATTTAATGGCACCATTAATTAACCAATAACTGCCTGAAAAATATTAAAAATTCTAGAGACCTTACTAAAATACCCTACATCAATCACCTTTTATTGAATATAAACAGATGATGGCAAATTAAATACAGTTCCACACCTTCCCTAAAAGGTCTCTAGAATTTCTTTTTATCGTGTTTAAATATCCAGCCACAATAATCCCAGGTAAAGAAAATGGAACTAATTTTAGGGATAATTTAGTCAACTTGCCTGCCACCACATTACTGTGGATGTCACAATATGCAAGATGATAATTAATAGAGAGCATTTCGGGTACATTTAATAAAAATAACCATTTGGCCTATGGTAGCGAAAACTGAAAAACTGCGATGAAGAAAGAATGCAAACTGAAGTCTTCTAAGCAGATGTAATGAATTAAAGCTGTTTGAGAATCTACAGTTTAGAAGCGAGATTGTATTCTAAATGAAATTTAAACCCAGTGCATCAGCAGAAGATGCTAAAATATTAACCATTGTGCAGGTGGCCCACTGAAGGAGATGCCACCAAAATATTAATCATGAATGCCAAAGTAGCCTGTTGCAAACAAATGATAGCCAAAAAAGACTGACTAAAATCAATATTTATACTTTCATTTTTTTTGTTGGCATTATAATATATTATGCAGTATCATTAATTGTATTACTATGTCAGTATTTTAATAAATTAATTTTTAATCACTTACAATTTTACTAATATAGATAATAGAATAGTAAAATGCTTCATTTACTTTTTAAAGCTTATGTAATTATCTAATGCTGCACAAAACTTCCCAAAGCCATTATTTTCAAATTGTAAACTTGGAATATTTGTTCCATCCTTTAATAAGAATGTTAACATAACTTTATTGCCTTCACGAATTTCACTCCTCTTGAATGATTTCAAATCTGCGATGTCAAATTTGATAATATTTGGTGTACGAACAGCTTTGATTTCTACAGCATCTGAAATAAATAAAATTTAAAATTATTACCATTAATGCTACTTACTTTTCAAGCAAATGATTTAAAAATGAAAGTACATGAAAATATAAAAGGATCAAAATACAACCAAGGCTTTCATCGTGATTTGCTTTATATCCAACAGCTGATGATACATCTTCCCACTCTAAACTGTCTACTTCTGGACTATTTTTCTTCCCTTCAGCAGTTTTCAGTTTTCCTGGATGCCACTCTATTTCTGGTCCATGTGGCTTCAAAAATAAAAAATGCATGTTATTTAAAAATGTATTTCATAAGCATTTCATAAAACATTCTGCAGCAGGTCACCATCCAAGCAACCAAGCATTAACCCTCCAAGCAGCCAAGAGTTTGGCTCCCCAAATCCTAAGTTTCAAAAAGTTCCCAGATCAATGTCTTAGTATCTTAGATTTTTACTTTGCTGTTTTTCATGCATTTTCATTACAATACTTGGTAGAATTCATGTCTTCTTGCTGATGAGTTGGATCACAACTTACTTTTAAACTTCATTAGACTTATCATGTTATATGGTAATGAATGCTGGCCCCTAGTAAAAACAGATAAAGGAAGACTTCTAATCTTTGAAAGAAAAATACTCCAAAAAAATATATGGCCCAGTTACAGAAAATAACGGATGAAGAATTTTGTTTAACCATGAAATCTATAGAAGATACAACCAACCTAATATTATCCAAATCATCAAATCTTATCATATCAGATAGCTTGGACATATTTTTAGATGTGACAACTTGAACCCTGTTAAAAAAAGAACCTCTGCAGGTGTAGAGGGTAGCAGGAAAAGAGGAACAACTCATAGAACATGAACAGATTACGTGGAGGCAGATCTCAAGACTAAAAATCAATCATTCGAAGAACCTTAGATCGGATCCATAGCAGGAAGCTTGTAGAGACGGCCTGTAGTGCAACTGAAGAAGAAAATATAATTCAAAATTTCATATTACAGATCTTTCTATCTGTGGAACAACAATTAGATTTTATTTACATACAATGAACTGGAAGTGATACTTTACTTAAAGCTCATTGCTATTTAAAACATGGAACTGGAAGGAGATTATATGCTGGGTACATAATATTTTTTAATATTTTAATCAAAAAGAGACTGCTGAAAAAACAAAACATAGAAGAACCTACAGAAAACTGTAGAAAAAAATAATACACAGACCCATGTTTGTCAGAAACAGTCTCAAGAAAATGAAAAAATAAATGATACTTATCACCACACTCTGAAAAGACCGAGAGAATTTGTGAACAAGAACTTGTTGATAAAAACCTAATCATATACTGGAAGGTTTGGTACATGAACATTAAAAAAAAAAAAAAAAAAAAAAAAAAAATCTAATCTGATTAAAAAATTCACTGAACACTTTTCATGTCCTAATAATATAAAAAAAAAAGTTCTTAAATCTATTTTGCAGGTAATGCATATCAGATATTTTTAATAATTTCTTTCATTTTTTATCTCTAAATAAAATAAATTTTTATTTAACATTTAATGCAAACATCAAATTCTACATTATTAAATTACACTATTGAATACTGAATTGTTCAATTAAATGTGAATCTTGAAAAATATAAACATAGCTTATAAATTATATACATACCTAAGTACACAGAATTTTAGTAATGCATAACATTACCTGATTTACCATTCTAATTAGAAAGAAAACATTTTTTTAATAAATGCATATATAATAAGAACAACAGGCATTTTGGGGAAAGGGTAGGTTATATTTTTTCACTCAATGAGTTCAAAGAGGTCAAAATAGACCTTCCCAGGATGGATACCACATTAAGATGAATTGATAGAAAAAGTATATTAAAAAATCATTAACATACCAAATGACTTAATTACACTGATTTTTAATTTTAAAACTTAAAACTATTATATAATTATGTGTTAAAAAGGAGGAAAAAACTCATTAAATGTACATTTATTTTAAAAATGAAAACCAAAATCAAATCACCTGCAGTGCCATTATCAAACTCAAACTTCTCACACTGAAGTAATTTATTCAAGGTTATAATAGTGGGGGGGGGGTTCCCTCTTTCTTTAACATGCAAGTGGACGAGATTTTTTTTCATGTCTTTTATTTTCTAAATTTTGGGATGTTTTCATTTATTATTAGATATAAATATATTATGTAACTGTAATTATTAGATACAAATATATAATTGCTATCTAAAAGACAACTTAGAAACCAGTAAGCTTCTTTTTTTATCCTATTAATTATATAATAGAAAAGAAGGGGAATCAACCGAAAAACACTGCTCCACGTACGGCTGCATACAAATTTATTTTCATTCCACAATACTATATGGAAATACTGTAATTTTTTTTAGAAACATACCTCTTCAACAATCATCAATTGCCCCTCAAAAACTGCTTCGTCTTTTAAAGGACTAACGATACTGACAACCACATTATCTTGAACAAATTTGACCTGAGAAAAAATTACAATACAAATGTCATAAGAAACAGAAAATTATCACTTCCACGAAAATACGAATATAATGAGAACAAGGAAGATAAATTATAAGCATGCTTTTACAAATTTTTAAATTAAAATACAACTGTGGAACAATATAATTTGGAAGCGTGAAAACAACTTACCTCCCTTTTCTTCTTATCCATTATTTTAAAATCACATGTAAAATTTACTAACGATTTTGATAACTCAAAAGTAAAATAAGAGTATTTCTATCAAAACACATTTACTCGAATTAGAAGCATATTGTTACGAAGAGAGAAAATTCTGGTATAAATTAAAGTTATATAAAACTTTAGTATATAATTCTATTGGGCGTTACTACTCACAAACTAAAACTGCATAAATCGCGATGTTTAGCATAAGGTAAGTTACCAAATTTCAACATCAAACATAGATTGCTGAGTTGAGATGTTCATCCGCTGAGTAAACAAATCTTAAAATGATTTTAAGTCAGATCACATGAATTTAAAGGCTTAGCACACACAGACGTATTGTATTCTGGAGTGTCAAGATGTAGGAACATCTTTTTACTCGGCTTCTGGTATGCAATCTGGAAGAAAAAGAAGGAAGAATAGTGTAGAAAAATGCTTAACAGAAAATATTTTCCATAACAAATGAAAATTTAAAAAAAAAGAAAATCTGCACGTTTCAGATTTTAAATTACGTCCAAAGAAGCTTTTCTTAACGTTTTGTGTGTTACCGTTATTTATTAAATATCATGTTCTTTGCACTTAAACCATAAAATTCAGTTCAATAGCAATGTCGCAAAATAATTTTAAAATGACCATATCTTTAGAATTCCCGATACACAGTTCCGCGCGCTGGAGATAGAAAGGGTTCCCCCCCCCCAATTGCTCCATGGAGGTAGGAAAGGGAGAAGGTGCCATTCCGCGCTAGAAGTGAAGCACTGCTTTGAAGCTTGGGTCACCAGACGGGGTGTTCTTTGTTTACATTCAGAAACTCGCTTGACAAGATTCTGATAGTATTTCGACACACGACAGTTCCATAGAAATCGAAAAAGGGACACTCTCGCATGAAAGAAACATTCATAGTGTAATGGATAATAGCAATTTGTATAGTTTACCGACATTTACGCAAAAATCACATCTTGGTTATTTTTCGATAACTAACAACAGCGATTTTGATTATGAATTTGTTTTATAAAATTCTAAGCTGTTGCACTACAAAAATATAGATTTTAAGAAAATTGCTAAAAGAGATCTGCCAAAATTTATTTTCTAGAAGATTTGAAAAGTTTGAAACTTTATGGCTAAATGTAAATATAAAATTATGCATGTTAAAATATTTGTAATTAGGCACATAGGTCAGATTAAGTTTTTATTAAATAGAGTAACGCATGCAAGGGCTATCTGCCTAAAGAGAGAGATGCCATCGTGGAGGAATTTTGAAGAAAAACTTACCTTTGAGTGGGTATTAAAAATAATATTTAAAATTTTCATTCAAATTATATTCATATATATTTTTTATGTAAAACTTTCGGGTGTATGCTAAATTAGTGTAAATTACTTTACACGAAAAATATAGTGAATGCACAGAAATTAAAGATTTGCACATGCCGGAAATGATAAATAGGAAATATGTATGGGTATTTATGCATGTGCTTGCAAAAAGCATGTATCTGCCTTTGACAAAATACTTAAATATTCATTAAACTATTTATAAATGTATTTGAAATGAAGAATTTATTCACTTATAAACAACTGTGAAAGTACTGTGAAGAAATCTAATGATTAAATGTATCTAATTGATAATGATTATAAATGTTATCTAAATATATAATAACCTTAATATTGAATTGTAAACATAAATTGAAATCCTGTTTGACAAATACGTTATAAAAACTATTTAAGCAAGAATTGTTCGTATTGGAAAGCAATCTGTTAAAAGGTATTGTAAAGCAAATGCTATGAGATGCGCACTTAAAAAACGTAATAAAGAGTTTTGGAATATGTATTGTTGAAATGAAGGGTAAAAAAAAAAAATCTGATAAGTATAATTAAAAGAATTATTCCCTTTACATTTTATAATAACTCAGTTACAAGTTTTAAAATAATACTTAAAAAAAAAATAAAAAAAAAATAAAAAAAAACTTATTTTATTTCCTTTCAGAAATGTTCAGAGAAAGTCAAATACTTACTATTTAATACCTATTTAACTATTAGGAATTAGCGAAATACTCATTTAAAGTATTTCGCTAATTCCTAATAATTCTCTAATTTAAAATGAACCGAATAGAGCATCAATTATAAATTCACTTACATTTTTCGATTTAAAAGAAGCCAAAAAATCATGTCATATTTAAGAAAGTATTTTAGGAAGAAGCTCTATAAATAGAAAAGAAATAATGCATAATTTTAATATTAATAATACAATAAACTTTGATCTTAATTTTTGTACCTTAACCGAATAAAATCGAATTACCTTAATTTTATTTTTCTAATGTAATTAACGAAAACTTGTGAAAATATTTTATTCAAATTAAACCATTCTGAGAAAACTGTCCTGTGAAAAGTACAGCATTTAATTCCGTTCAGAATGAAATGTTGTTTAAAAATATGTTGTTTTCACATACTTAGGACTCTGAAGTGTTGTAGAAAAAGAAAATATATACATTTATATGTATATTTGCGACGTAATTACAAAATATTTACACCCGAACGCGTCAAATCCCCATAGAACTCAATGGTAAATGACCAATGTTTTGGTCACCACGTAGGGATCGCCGGTGCTTCAGAGCAGGGTACGGAGAAACTTGTTTAGGGCGACTCCATCTTACTTCCTACCTCCATGAATTGCTCGCTTTGAAATATTTAAGTTTGTTAATAAAAAAATTCGTTAAAGTTTTACAAAATATGAAATCGATAATAAAACAAATTCCTAATTTCAAATTTGGTTTTCTATATGCCCGTATTCGTAGGAGGATTACATCATTCAAAATTCGATGGCTCTGTGTTTCTTTATGGCCGTTGTTTTATCATAATGTGAGAAATATACATACATTTGTGCAGATTTTTCATTATTTAATTCCTTCAAATATAATGCAGCGCTCTAACATTTGGTGGCATTAGTTTGAAAAGTGAAAAGGGCATTTATAGTGATTCAACGCAAAATAGCAAAACGAAAACAATAGTCCTTCAGGAACAAAGTACCTTTGGACTAAAAAACTTACTCTTAAGTGTTAGCTTTCAAAAAGCGTTTTAAGATTTTTTCTGAAGTTTCAAACTGTTCTTTTAATTTTTCTGTCTAAAATACTAACTGGATCAAAAAATAATTTCTGCATATATATTAGGTAACACCCAAATAGAAAATTTCTGGTGACATTTTATCTAGCGTCCACACCATGGAGTATAAAGAAGGAGGTGAAATTCGAATTACCATTTTTTCCGAAAAGGGTCCACTTTTTTTTTTTTTTTTTTTTTTTTTTTGTAGCATTATTTATAGACTATTTTGCAGTCATTACTCGTTCGCCTTACTTACGGTAGTATTTTACATAGACAATAATAGCGGAAATATTGATTTGATAGCAATTTCATTGTGAATAAAGAATATAATGGAGCCTGTTTCGTCCCTGGATGCAACAGTGGTTATAGAATTGGAAAGTTGAAGAGTAAAAAACTTGGGACTAAAGAATCCAATTAAGTATATTTAGAGCTCCAAAGGTGAGCAACATTTATATCATGCTTGATCACAATCAGACGAATTTATGTAACTTTTCAGAAGATCTGGATTGTTAGCAAATAAGAAGATATTTACTGTATGCTTATGAAAAAAATAATAAATTGGAATTTAGTTAAATGTTGTTCATAACTTATGTGAATTTAATATGCATCTGTATTTCGTGCATGAAAGAAGGCAATCATTAGATTTTAATGTTAAATTAATTTCTGAAATTATACAAGGATGATAAAATATTTGCACTTTAATTCCATTAACCGAAAACAAGATCAACTCATTCTCCCCTCCTTTTCTGTTTGAAGTAGGTTTTTGTAATAAATGGAAATGAACACACACTGCTTATAATTAACGTTGCCTGCATGATTAAGTGAAAATGTAAGAACAGCAGACGAGTGTAACGAAAATTAGTTTTTTGTGAGATAAATTCAGAATATTAAACAAGTTATGAATATTATGAAATCATGCGACCTGATCACATAAATAAATTTCTATTAAAAATTAAGATTTAAATCTTGGTACAGTGCAAGGTTAGAACCATTATGCACAAGGATTTTAAATTTGAATTTGTAGAACTATTCCAGTGTTAAACGCTGCAAAATTCTTGCATAAATCTAGACAGTTCTTATAATCTTTCAATTGCATGCTGCCATTATAATCCAAGCTCATGGTCGATTATTAGCACTTCAGCATATGCATCTTTAATAATGTAATTTAATTCTTGTTGATTTTGAGAATGATAAATGACTCAAAATGATTTATTCCGTTAATGTTTCCTATTTAATCTTCTAATTGTAACACTGAATAAAAGCAATGAGCTGAGGAGTCACAAATTAAAAGGAAAAAAAAAAAAAAAAATAGAAGTTTGATTTTAACTTTTCTTCCCAGCATTACAGTTTAGAATAAATTGCAACGAAATGATTTTTGAAATAGTTTTCAGGAGATTCATGTGATTTCGAACTCTTAATTATATTCACATGGACATACAATAGACATGTACAAATAGACATACAATAGACATGTACGCATTCAGCAGTAGTATTTTGTAACAAAAAGAACAAGGGGCTTGATTTGGTTTATTTAATTACACGAAATAACTCGTGTGCTATCTGCCTAAGGGGAGGGTTACCTTCATAGAGGACTTTCTAGGGCCAACTGGCTTTTTATATATGTTACACACGGAAAACACGAAAATGCCTTTTGCTGGGATTCCCGAAAATGTCTGTTGCTGGGATTCGAACCCAGGCCCGAACTGTCAGTGTTCGGTTACTTTTGCAGCTCGGCAAAAGAATAAGGCAAATTGCAACAAGGCTTGCAAATTGAAAACAAATTTAACGAAGGAGTCACTCTAGCCACCTATATCTCTCCACTATGTTTAACAACATAAAAAAATACTGTTAAGATTGTTTCAAGATTATTTATGTAATTACTGTTACATTTTTATTGAATTGTTACTATTTAATTGAACTAGTTTCTTTCACTGCGAGTGTTAAATGGTTGAAAAAGAGATATTAAATTTAGAATAAAAACGTAAACAGTTACTGCAAGAGAAAGTGATTTAAATTTTAAATATGCAATATTTCTTAAGTACAGCAACGAGCATACATTAAGTATTCTGATATTAAATTGGTAGTTTTGCAACAAATGTATTAAACTGTATAAGTAATAATCAGTTCAACAAATGAAAGTATAAAAATAGGAGATCTCTT